AAAATAATGCTGTTAATTTGTTTACAAGATTATTGAATGTTTTTGTCTGAGAGACAGTCAAATTTCACATTGGTTGATTTATATTATCCTGGTAATTTCTGTTATCTTAAGTTGTGATTTGTTGGTATTAAAAACCATTGTTTTGGTTACATATAGTTGGTAAAACTAAAAGAGAAACTTGCTTGTTATTTTTGGAGAATGAGCAAAAGCTGAACATAATAGTATTCCTTTTTTACCTTCACCAGTGGCAGAAAGAATTGACACACCAGTATTAGTTTTAGAGTTTATTTAATTTGAGAACAGTTACTTATAGGTAAAAATTTAACAGTAAGAAAAGGTATAGTTTTACAAATGGTAATAATATAGTCATATTCCAAATTCTGCTGTTTCACATTTTACTGTGAGTATACTTATCTTCACAAATAACAGAACTAAAAGATGTAAAATATACACCAATAATATTAAAAAGAAAATGTTCACTTAGGATGTCTTAGTGGAACTGATATTCAGACAAGGGCCAACTTTTATGTATTCATTAAAATTGGTAACCAATGTTGAGATGAGATGCAGATGTTTATTCCTTGTATAAGATGGAACATACCGTATTTCAGATGTTATGACACCACATGATCATTTGGGTATACAGATCTTTGAACATTAGGTTAATCAACTGAATGTGTTAATGACAAATGTGAGAATATGAGCATTTAACATGATGGTGTATAACTTATGAAGATTTACCTAAAAGATGGATATTTTGAAAACAATTGTAACTTTACAACATTAAATGGGAATTTACAAACTAAAAATGTAAAGAAGTTAAAGTAACTTAAGTATACTTACTGTGTATTTAGAAAGTTGAGACTAAAATAATCCTTGCTGCCAAAACTACCCTTTTACTTTGTAGTCAAGCTAATTGAGGAAAGGATAGATATACATCCTCCTCCCACACACTTTTCAGTTCTGCCTCCTGAGTGTGTGTGTGTGTGTACATGTTGAGGTCCTGACCAATTAATTTGATCTGATGAATGCTGCAAACCAACAATTCAAGCATAATTATAGTATTTTGGCACTTGTGTATAAAGTTAAAATCATAAATAATATTCAACGTTAAACCAGTACACAAACAGTACATGTTCAAAACATTTTATTTAGGCCTATCTATGGCTTTCAAAAAAGTTGATGACTCTACATGTTTCGACATTCATCCTCATTTATGATTTTATTTCAAGCATAGTTGTTTTCCGGGATTTCTATGTATAAAAGTTACTTATTAACATGCAACATTGGATAAGTGTTTTTACATTTTATGCTAATGGAAATATGCAAAAATGCACCACTAACTCAAAAATACGTGTTAGAGGACTGTAGTGTGTTTTTGAATAAATGTTGGAACATCAGATGTTTTTAATAAATTATGAACTGTCACAGATAGCTGTACATCAGACTTCTTAATTAACATTATATTTTATAACAACTTGTAATCTAGCATAATTGAAAAACGTTTTTTGTTATAAATTATCACTACTTAAATTCAAACCTAAATTATAAATATGTTGGAGACTGAAATGTAGAAGGTAAAGTAACATTTCACCAATATGTTATTTATATAGCCCAGAAATTGTAAGTTGAATATGAAAAAAATAAAAGATGATTGAAAGTGTATAACCTTGTACTGTAATGTATATTTTTTAGTGTAATGATTAGAAATCTTTCTAGACGTTTTCATGAGAAAATATAAGATAGCTAAATCAAAAAAGTACAGATTGTATTGTAACAAAACTTAAATTTTCAATTGAATCTGTGGTTTACTCTTAATCAACAAAGCTATTATTTTAAAGTGGTTACTGATGTTCAGCTAGTTTAAAATCTAATAAGTAACTTAATTTTTCTGTATCCAACTTGCATACATAATGTTATACTTTTAATCATCTTAGATCTCATTATGTGACTGATGAAATAGATCATTGTATAAATTTAATAGTTTTTTTACAGTATCTCATTTTATCTTTTTTTATCATTTTTGCTGGATTTTTGGTAATCCCTTTTTTTTTTACATTTTGTGTGAAAATGTGATCCCTGGTGGGACAGTGTTAAGTTTATAGACTTACAATTCTAAAATCCAGGGTTCAGTTCTCCACAGTGGACAGAGCAGATAGCTTAATGTGGCTTTGCTCTAAAACAAACAAAGGTGAGAAGGTTTGGATTCAGGTCTGCTAAGATTTGCTGTTAAAGCACTTTTTAACAGGCTACATGTTTACAAGTTATGTTCCTCAATCTGCACTGGCCACACTTCATCTTGCTACACTGCAAAAGCAGCCATGCTTGATTCGGGTTCCTCTACCTGGAGCTTCTGCAGCATCAGTTGTAGTGTCCAGTTACAAATGTAATCTACTATTTTCAGAAAGGGGTTTAACACCCACATGGCATTGAGGGTCAGAACATTCAATGAATAGGTGGGGTTTCACTGTTGTGGTGAGACAATATGTTGGCATTCCTATGTTGTGGATACGAATGGTGCAGTACAACAAAATTATATTTCTGCATCATTGTTAACCAGTCTACAATCATCCCATCCAGTTTTTATAGTTTATAAGCCACTTCATTGATGCATGTTCCACCCTAAAAAAGTGAACATTCTAATATACAGATATTTTTGGTTGCGTTTGATGATGACCATAACTGCAAGCAGTTCTTTCTTTGCATACAGTATCAGCATTCAGGAGCTATGAGTATACAACAAGCATGTGTTACCACACCTTCCACTTCATCTTGAAACTGCAATAACACTGCACCAATTCTCCTTTCAAGGACTATTCAAGAAGAACTTGCAATCCTTTTGTGGATACATCAACACCAAAGCTTTTACTAAAGTGCACTTTATAAACAGGAATGCATGGTCACACTCCTTGGTTCATTTAAAATGTGCATTGGTTTGGTGAAATCAGATAATGGTGTAGAAATCTTGGAGAAGTTCTGCCATTAACTTCGGTAATATGATGTACCACCAAGGAAACTGTGAACTCCTAGTTCAGTCACAGGTTGAGATCAATCCCTTACTGCTGTGTTCTTTTGAGCGTCAGTAGAAACTTCATCTCTTCCCACAGTGTGACCAAGAAATTCCACCTGTGTGTGCATGGACACACACTAATCTGGTTAGTTTTAAACCAGCCATTCTTATCTGCTGAAATTCTATTCTTAGATTTTCAGCAGCAATCTCAAACGTGTTGCCAAACACCAAGACATCATTGACATAAACCAGGTTCCTTTTACATTGCAGAGTTTTTAACATGGGATCCATTAACCTCTCAAAAGTAGTAGGAACATTACATAGGCTGAATAGCATAATGCAGAACATATACAAACCACCTTAAGTGCTGAAAGCAGTTTTAGTTGTGCTTTCCTGGGAACTCGTGTATCAACCAGTAACTTCATCTCTCACCCTGGTATCTTCCCCCAGCCCCATGAGATAGCTAGGCTGGCTATCAAACGATTTGGTACAAGATGCCTGATGCACTTCCCCAACTCTTGCTCCATTACTTTCCTGAAGTGGAAGTAGCAGCAGTTGTAGTTTTCTGCCAACCATCCTACATCTGCTTTGCTGTCAGTCACTTCTAGTAACTTCACCAATCTTGCTGCATCACAAGGTATAAACAGCTCATTTCGAAGAAATCCTGCAGCACACTCAATGCAAATGCTTTGGTCATACATTTTAAAGCAACATCCGGAAAGAAGCATCATTGACTGCAGATCTGACATCGTAGGTAGATCTGTCGAGTCCTGGCCAGTCACTGGGAACCATTGTAGTTGTTTCAAAACTTTGCAAT